CGACCAAAACTGGCTAGGCTGAGGCGAACTGCTGCCGTGGACGCCAAAACCGGCACCAGAGCACGGCGTAACCACCGTGCCGAAACTCCAAAATTGGTCGTAATAGATTTTGGACATCGATTTTGGATTTTTATGATATTTTTTAGGTATGTGACAAGTGTTTGGATTTCGCATGGATAATTCAAGAAATTTGGTACCCGTTAGGAAGTATAGTAGGCAGCGAAACATCCCAAAACACCGATTTATGTAAGGATCTCTCACTTTTTTCTCAGTTACAAAAAATTGAGGCTTAATAATTAATAATTGTGTGTTTTTATGAAAAATTAGATAATCTTAAAAATAACTACAAGTCACTAGTAGAGTTGGAACCGATTAGTTCACGATCGTTTTGATTTCCTTTTCATTTTCCTGTATTGCCTATATTTATTTATTATTATACTGTACATAACTCAATTGATGGTTTTTAGGATCTTTTTTGTGATCCGGTTATTTGTTTTCCTTGCATTGTGTGCCGGTATTTCGGTCATTGATTATTTAGTTGTGTTAAACGATATTGTTGTTTAAATAAACTGTGAGTATAAAATGAGATATGATTATTGCGTGGTTAATTGTTATACTGATGAAAATCCGTGTGGGAAAGACTTATTGGGTACCCAAGAAAGGGAGGACAGGTCCGGTACATAGGGAACCCTACAGTGAACGTTATCTCAGTCGGACGGCTCTGAGAAGTTTCTTACTAGTAAGGTTTGGTAGATATGGTTCACCCTCATACCGAACAAAGTATCGATGTGGTGGAATATTTGGCGCTCATTATCGGACGAGGTATGGGAACAACTGGTTAATTGTTTAATTAGATATTGGGAACACGAGTAGAAAGATATTCCTATGGACCCCAGTGGTACTGGTAAGCGAGTAAAAATGTAAAATGATCGTTTTTTATTATCTTATATGTGACAAATAGTAGTGCATGAATATGAATTTTCATAAGTTATTGTTAGGAAAGACTTGTTATACAAGTATGGGATAAATGACTTTATTTACAGTAAATGTATTTTCATTAAATTAAGTGTTTCATTTGTTGTTTTTTTGATTTTTATCAATCTTCAGTTATTCGTATATATGATTAACGTGATATTCTTACTGGACTTGTGTAGTTCACCATTTCATTAATCATTTCAGATCAAAATGACCAAAATTCAGATCTCGATCGGCAAGAGAGTTATGAATAGTTCATCACTCAGACTCCCTTCAAAAGCTAATGAAAGTCGTCCTAAGATTTCTCAGCTATTTACTTTTTTTATTTCTTTAATTTCTGTTTGTTCTTTTAAAATGGACAATCCGGTAATTCTATTGAGCATTCTAAATTTTTATGTAAGTAATGTGAACTCTAAATTTATTATTTCGTCTTCCGCATTTAATTTAGAAATATTTCACCTTCCGGGTCTTTACAACGAATTTTCATAAAAAAATAAAATAAAATAAGGAAATTTGCATTTAATTATTTTTAATTGAAAATAAGTGTGATTTTAAAATGAATTCCACAATATTTCTAAATTTATTCTTAACATATGTCAAGTAACTTTTTAATTTTCAATTGTGTTATTGAATAAATCTTTAAAGAGATTATAACGGATACAACTATAATTCGATTATTTATTTTTTAAAATTAATGATAATTGTAGCTATTCGATCGTGACATGATTTTTTTAAATATTTTTAAAATTTTAAAAAAAATATTTATACAAAGATTCATCGCGACAAAAAAGATCATGATAATCCCAAGATTAATTACTTCATTTATGAATTTCATAGTAATAGAAATACATGTTGTACCGAAACATAATTTGTAACTTGCTATCCTCTACGAAAAAGATGATTCATTCGCATCAACATAAAAGCCCAACTACATTACATTGCCAGAATCCATGTTGTATATTTGAAAGAGGCTGACCTCATTACTTTTATGGTACAATCATCTTCCCGCATAATCTCCTATTTTCTTCCCTATAAATTTTAATCTTAATAAAAATGTTAGTTTTTACTGTTCATATGTTATGATATAAATTCGTTATGTATAGATCATGAGATTCCATAGATACAGAGCCAATTCTAACATACTTATTAGAGAGTCTCATTGGCATACCTCCGGTGGGAATTGAACCTAGGAATTCGCCAATTGTTGGGTGCTTTATAAATCAAACATAAAACTTCATACGACGAAAAGAGAATTTTTATGGTCCTTAATACTCATTATGTCTAGCCTTAAATATACGGGGTATTCACTCTACCGATATCTCAAATTAACGATGGGTTCTGTTTGGCTCTACTTTAAATCTTCGTTTTAATTACTTACTTATAAGTTCATAATTATATTCTTAAATTTGATTTTATTTTTTAAATAATAAAGTGTCTATTTTACTATTAAAATAAGATCTGGGCCAAAATTAAATCTTTACACTCTTAAACTCGAACCTAAAATATCTGGCCTTTATTCTAAGGGGACCGGTTGGATTTTCAAACAAGTTTTAAAAAATCCAAGAGAGCCCATATTTTTCAGGCCCAATTTTTTTTTTTTTCATATTATTATAACATCAGACCTCTCACGCACGTGTAATATAGTATTGTTATATATACAAATCGTATATACGTACATAAATATGGAGTACCCAATTATTTAATTTGAACGTTCAGAAAAATAATAAATAAAACATATATTAAATTATTTGTTAGATATATTTATATGAATAATAATTAAAAATAAATAAATAATTATCGAGGTACGCACGCTT